CAAGTTCGTCTGATACTTCCAGTTGAGTACGCCCACATTCCAGACGGCCGATAATTCTACCACGTAAAATATCATCCAAATGCGTCCTTTGAGCCATAACTATTCGGTTATTGCACTGAAATGCTTATAAAGCGCCTGCGAACAATTTTCTTCTTTGCCTGTATTTCTCATATATCACTCTCTTAGACTCTCGTCATTGTGATATACCATTGGTGTCATTCGGTTACTTCCTGAAATTTGCATATGATTCTTGAAGATGTGTAGTGATTTTACGGGTGATATATTTATTTTAGAGCTCGATTTCCGCGTGATTCCGAATTATCCTTAATTTATGGACATGAGTGTAGAAACGACGCAGTGCAGAAAATTTATTACGATTTCTAGAATAAAGAGGGAGAATTAAGGACTATCGCTAATTTAAATTATAATTTTGATTTACATATTTTTGTAATACACTTTTGATTTACATATTTTTTATTTCATTTTGAGTTACATATTTTTCAATCTTACATATAAAATTTTCTTGCTACTGCACTAATGTATTCGCTAAAACGATTTTTCTATTTCCAAGCCTGTTTCTGTTTTAAGGGACGGGGGATATATAAGATTACGTTCAGAGTACTGAGATATCTCCGGGTTAGCCTTGGTCTTTAAGATGCGCTTTGCATTGCGTTGTGTTCAACGTTCTTAGTTTGAAATGCAACTACTTTAATGAAATAATAAGTTTGAAATGCAACAACTACAAATTTTATCAAACCATCACCGGACCTGTGTGTATTCAAACTATTACTAAAACTCCTATATGTACCCACGCAACAATATATTTTCAGAAGAAAACAATATGTAAAGTATCGCTGAATGCTTTTGAGCAATAATATACTTTAAGTAAATTATATTTAGATCGTCAGTTCAATATGCTAATCAGCTGTAAGTTATATGTTTATTATGTTTGAATTGTGAGCTTACTATATTCATCCTGTGCGTGTTAATTATGTTTGAAATGTGAGATTCAATAATGATTCTTTGTTCTTGTAAAATATATTATGAAATGATTGCGACTTCGAAATAAAAGTTGTTTTTATCATTTGCACTGTTCAAAATATTTGGAAAAAATTTTTTAACGTTACATGCGTTCATCTCTATTACATCAGTGTCACGTCATCATTATTTTACTATTATGGTACCTCAAAATTCCTTTCTCGGGATTTATGGATACGTGCTGCTGCTCGAATAAATGTTATTTGTGTACATGATAATCATTCCCTCTCCCTCTCTCTCTCTATATATACGCAAAATATAAAAATACGATGGTTTTTCTCTCCGCGAACAGACAAACTCTAATTAACTTTTCGCAATTTCAGGATCTTCCTCATAGACCAATACTTTCGATAACATTCTGACATGTGATATAACCACTATTACAAGTGCAGAGTTCGCGCCATTGGGAACCAACAGCGTCAACCGAGCTACTAAGCAACCATTGACCTTACATATATTAAAAACCACCGCTCTGCTCAAAGAAACAGCGCAGTTTCATTCAAAAGGAAAAGGTATAAAATCTCAGCGGAAATTACAACTTTTCGCAATTTTCAAGGATTTATACCACGGAAGGATATGAGAAAAACTGGTGGTCAGCAATTTTGCAATAATTCGTATTAGGTATTAGAATTGGATTATATTTGAATTTAAATTAATTACTTCTTCGAAGCAAAGATTGTTTCGAAAAATTCATTTTAAATGTGTCATCTAAACTTAAATGCATATCATGACTTAGATCTCAAGGAATATTTTTTTCCAGTTTTGCGTTCACCAAACAGTGCAAGCTTCTTTCTCTTTCATTAAATATTAATATCTCGTACGTATTATAAGTTAAAATTAAAAATCAGATTATAAAAGAATATGATAGCCTTTAAAACGTGTTTAAAAGGAATTCAAAAATAAAGTATTAGGAATGTTAAATTTTAGAAAAACGCAAAATGTAAATTGAAACGTTAGAATATACTAAAGTTAAAAAAAAATTGAAACTAAAAACTTTTAAAATGCAAATTATTTACTCATATTTTATCGCTTCTAATCGATTCACCAAGGATAACAATTTTAAATATTAAAACTTAAACAGAAAAGGAGTATTTATAAATGTTTCGTTTCATTTGACATTTTGAGCACCAATAAATTAAAACAGAAATGAAATGAAAATTTAAAAAATCGTAAAGATTCCACGTTTTACATTACGCTAAATGTGCGTTTTCGTCATTTACACACACACACAGGTTTCGAGAGCATTTCAGCTAATGTCCCTTAAGGCAAAAATATTTACAAACCTTTAGAAATTCCGATAGACAATTTAGAGCGTTGGAGATAAATATATTCTTTTTCTTACAGTGTTGCCATTGCTTACTCTGAAATCGTTGAGTGTGTTAATCAAAAATTCGTTACAATTTAAAAAACATGAAAAAGACAATGAAACAAACTCCAAATTCGGTCTTCTAGGTGTCCATATTCAGGTGGAAGATAACACTATTTAAAATTTGATGGCTCTAGTTACTGCTGTTGTTTTCCCAGTGCGAGAATAGTTATAAATTCATGCAAGATCTTCCTTATTTAATTTCTTTAAATATATTACACGGCAATAATATTTATGGCAACACTTTTTGAAAACTGAACAGGCAGGTATGGTGAACCGACGCAAAATGCCGTTTCGAGAATAATATGCTCCTACTCCAGCGCCCCTTTGGGATAAACATACAGAAGTAATAATAATATAAAAAATGAAAAAAATTATAAAAGCTTCATAATATCTATATGATTTCGAGCGTACGCGTTCGTGATAGATTGAATGACCACAACTGATAGGTTGTTAAAATTTATATTATCGAAAGAAAAACTTCAGAATTCTCTACATTTCTACAAAAATAGTCGCACATTTCCTCACAGCATCACAAAGCACAGTCAGTAGTAGCACTTCAAACTACTAAGTACGTTAAATACCACGCAATGCAAAGCACATCTAAAGAGGAAGAGTCTCAGTACTCACTTTGAACTAACAACAACAACTGAAAGCAGATGCTCTCTTCGATCTTATACAGTTTTCACCCGGCCGCCGAGATATTTCTGTCTTTTCTGCTTCTCGAAATTCCTAGAAAGCATATGAGAGCCGAATTACGCTTACTTCTACATCTAATATCCATTACAATATGCACTATATTTATACATAATGCGCCGGTGATATTCGAACGTAACATGGACACCGTGTTGACTTTCCTACGAAGCTTGTCTGATATACCGGGATGACCTTATCTTCGTCGGGAGAAGTTTTGAAACACACGTAAATACTAGGACGAGAGTAGCTATCTTTATTCGTAACCTCGTTAAACCGGAGATTGTCAAAGTAAAATCTAGCTCCACTGATTTTCTCTCTGACCAGGACCATGAGAGACGCCCATGGACTTGCTGAAGTCTCAATGACATTGTTTTCTTTCATGTCTTTTGGAAGTTACGAGAGTATTTCGAAAAGTAAAGATACACCGTACGCCAGAAAAAAAGGAAAGTTTTGGTGAGCAAGTTGGCAACACAGGTGTTAACCTTGAACCGTTAGCTTTCTCCTCGCGGTCGTTCGGTATTTCAACGTTGATTCTGGTTGGAGTAGGTCGTGTTTAAAACGGCTGCGCCGATTCAGAATCCCGCCAAATGCGAAGTGCGTTCCGTCATACGTTTTCTTCATGCAAAAGGTCAGCGACCAGCGGATATTCACAAAGAAATTGTTTCTGTTAATGGAAACATTATGAATCGACAAAATGCAACGAAATGGTGTCGTCATTCTCTGAAGGTAGGACCGATCGATGTTCATGACGAACAAAGAACAGGCCGGCCATCAGTGATCTCTGATGCCCTTCTTCAGAGAACAGAGGAAGCAATTCGTGCGAATAGACGTCTCAAGTTGAAAGAATTGCATCAGATCATACCGGAAGTGTCAATGACAACTCTTTATGAAGTTGTGACTGTCAAGTTAGGGGTCAGGAATTTGTGTACGCGCTGAGTTCCAACAGGCGGCAACCTTCTATGACTGTGGGATACAAAAGCTTGTGCACCAACTTAATAAATGTTTGGATAACGGGGGGGATTATGTCGAAAAATAATAAATAATCCAGTTAATAAGATGTAACTGACGTTTTCTAACTAAATGCTTTTTTTGAGGAATGCGAGCCATTGTATCTTTACTTTTCGAAATGCCCTCGTATCTTACATTTTCCTGTTTGGCAATCCGTAGATGTCTTGGATGTCGTTTGACTGGTGGATGACCTCCGTGATCGAATATATGAGATTATATGATGTGTCAAGCTGGTTCGACCGACGTCAGAAGATGAGCCAAAGAAAGATTCTTGAAATTCTTGTATGGCATGTTCGGCAGCACTACTCTCTTCATAGCTTTACCGCGTATTCTGCGAAAATTCCCATATTAGGGAAGATATAATGTGATCTTAAGATATAATGTGATAAGATATGATTAGCTTATTAAATGAAAAGCTTTCTTTTATATCTTTTAATTTCCTTTAAAATTTCTCTCTATCTGAAGCAAAGTCAAAATAAGAAAAATGCCTAATTGTCTTTCGATTTGACCTATCACCGTCAGAATCGAAAATAAATCTATGTAAACTTCTAATTTTATCTGCTTTACATTTCTTCAGTGCTACATAGATTTGTTTAATTTCACTTAGAATCATTGTTAAAAATGAAAGCAAAATCTACATACCTTCTAGCTTCCAAGTTGTTCAATATGTAATCCTAAGAAGTAATTTGTGGAAAAACGCTGCTATTTCCAAATTAAAAAATTCCACTATTTATCGCCCACCAGCGGCCGAGCGGTAAAGTCGCTGAACACTGGTAGTTCGTTCTGAGCGAACGGGCTGGCTGCATGGGAGTTTTCGAGGTTTTCTCCATGTGTAACGTGTATACGAGCCACTTTCCCTTAGAAAGTCCTCCACGAAAGCTTAGGCAGATAGATGAGCGTCCGGAAAATCAAGCTGAAAACAAGCCTACAAAGACCATTTGCCCTCAATCTCACCCGTGCCTATCGGACCACCGCCACCAGCTCAGCGACTGTACTTGCAGGACTGATTCCACTACACATCATAGTGGAAATGGAGGCAGTCTACACAAAAGTAATACACTTGCGAAAGGACGCCTCACTTTCCAACACAACGTATTGCCTCATACAGTATGAAACTCTTGGCCATCCCCTACACACTCATCCGGCTGTCAAAGGTAAAGATGTCAAGATAGACCTTTCACGTCATTCGAATGCCAATGAAACCCAAGTTCCCACGCAAGGTTCCCACTTCTACTCGGATGGGTCCAAGCAGGAGGACGGCGTAGGTTGTGCCTATGTCTACTACCAGGACGGACAACGTCGACGAGAATGGAAGGGTCGCCTACAACTACAGAACAGCGTTTTCCAGGCTGAGGTTCTTGCTATCACGGCAGCAACTCAACACATCATCCATCAAGACATCACGCATGCAACCCTCCATACGGACAGCTTCTCAACACTGCAGGCGCTACTAAACCATCAGCACACTTCACCTCTAATTATCTCACTACAGCATCTTCTACAACGGTATGCACACATTAACTTGCTACTGAAATGGATAAAGGCCCACGCGGACAACGAGGGCAATGAGAATGCGGATCGCTTAGCCAAGCAAGCGGTCACAGACTCAGACGCCCAATTCAACAGCCTTCCAGCACCACCCTCACATCTGAAAAGTATTCTAAGAAAACAGTGTCTTCAGCTATGGCAGAGAGAGTGGAACCTCAGCCCCACAGGAAGACGCACCTTTGACTTTATACCCAAAGTCAGCACAGAAAGGCACTTCGCCATTGCACCCCTTACACAATTCATAACAGGTAATGGCCCATTTCCCCAGCTACTTCTTTCAACGCAACATATCTCTAACTGACCAATGCGTCTGCGGAGGTCACGGCACCCCGGATCACTACCTCTATGAATGTGAATTGACAACTGCTCATCATCTCCCCAGCCAAACCTCCAATAGAGAAGCTTTTTAATAGATTTATTAATTACACATAAGCCTGCAATATCCAAAATTTTTCAAATTGTCAGCATCACTAGGGCGATGGGTCAGGGACATATCTGCTCTCCTCACTGAATCCGCCAATCGCCTCTCAGTTCGTCATTAATACACCAATAAATGTATTTTACCATCAGTACCCAATAGTGCACCAATCCCTCAGTGTCTCAGTTCTATCAGCGTCCATCAGTGTCTCAGCGCATTCTTCTTTCAAGTATTAGCTCTTGCACATGTAACAATGTATCTGCATTCATTATAACATTTGGAGGTTCGAATCCCGCGAACGGGCTGGCTGCATGGGTGTTTTCGTGGTTTTCCCCATGTGTAACGTGTATACGAGCCAGTTTCCCTTAGAAAGTCCTCCACGAAAGGCATCCCTCCTCTTAGGCAGATAGCCCTAGTGTGCTTTGCCATAATTAAATACACCACACACCACACCATTATAACATTTGTTCCTGGAATTTATACGAACTGCGCAAATTCTATAGTACTCAAATTATCTTTGCAATAGCATCTGCGCATTATGTATATATCCATTGTACTTAAATCTTTAATGCACTATCTTTTGTTTTGTATTCTGTTAATACCTTTGTATACGTATTCCGCTCTGTATATCACATTTTTAGTGTTGTGTACTATTTCTAATGTTGCATCATGTTTCATGTATTTTATCAATGTATTTCATGTCTCTTGTTTTTTATCAATGTAGTCCGCGTCTCATGTATTGTATCAATGCATTGCATGTATTTTGTCTTGTATTTTATCAAGTATCATGCTTTTACTAAGCTTTCGTTCACTGTCTGTACACCCTGTAGTAAGTATAGTATCTCTAGATACCTCAATATTCTCAATATACAACACCATCACGCATTGGCAATATGCTTAAGTTTATGTATTGAGTGGAAAGTATTGGTATCTAATTACGCCTTATGTTTATGTGATTAATGTGTTGTTTTCGTTTTTTTTTTTTTTTTTTTTTTTTTTTTTTTTTTTTTTTATTAAATTTAAGACCCTTTCTTTTTATGTCTTGCACTTGACTATTTAGGACATGCTAATGTATCCTGAACTGCAATGTAACACAATCACTCATCTGCTCTTGTTGCACTGTAAATACTTTTATTAATTTAAATAAAGTTGCTGCTTCTACACAGGGAAAGGCGTGGGACATATGCCTGTTTACCACTGTTAAACACCAGGCGCCCCCGTCTTCCGTCACCTGTCACCTCAGGCAGATAGCCCTAGTGTGCTTTCCCATAATTACATACACCACCACACCACCACCACTACTTATCCCACTTCTGGAGAAAAATGCAGTGGAAGAATGCAGTGGAAATCTTCGTGGAAGATAGAGACATTTGCAGAGTTTCTTTATCTTGCACAACACGTTTAATTACATTAAAATATATGCACATTTTCGATAGATAAAATACATGTAGTTCGCTTCTATGATGCAGTATTATTATATCTTAAAAATCCATCGTCGTCATTCTTTCAATACATCTATAGGACAACTGCCAGACTGAAACATTCGAGCGAATTATACGATGAGGAATTCAGCGACAACTGGTGTTCAACATTGGAACCATATATATATTATTTGGTCCTGCCGATTGCGAGAAGAAAGGGAGGTGTACATCTAGATGTTATAGCAGTCCATATAGATAATCAACGTACTGTGACAAAGTGACAAATCATTTTTGAGTTATGCTAAATAAAAAAATATGTAGCGACATTACTAAAAATCCTCTTCTGAATCCATTTTAAATCCATTTTAGAATCTGTTTTGGTGTTTAAATTTTAGTGTTTTATTCTGCCCGTACCTACAGATGTCACGAAAAAAATTCGTTTAAAGGATTCAAGATTCATCGAGGTAAAAATGTTTCCTTTATTTCCTGCGAGGTAGTAAAATAGAATAAATTATTCTCATTTATATAGTAGGATGAACAATCCTGCTAAGAAGAAGACTTATCATGTCCAGAATATTCCAGAGGGGGTAGTGTTTGTTTACCCCCCCCCACACACACGTTTGGTTCCAGTGCAAGAAATCACATAAAAGTAAAGTCTTGCAAATACAAATCTGTGCAATATTTCCGAGCTGGTTCCAGTTTTCTTATTCACTCGTGTTAAAAAATTTGAATTTGCGTATATAACCTATTCTTCGTGTCGTGGGTATTAAATTTGTTTTTTCTTCTTCTTTCTAGTGGTTCTGAACGCATGCCTGCAATATGCATCAGGAAAAACAGAAACTAATTTTTCAGCAAAATTGAACAACGGACTATGGAGTAATAGGAGAAAACAACAAAGTTGTGTACTTCTTCTGCTCCGTAATGTTAGTATCACGCACATTTACTGCAAAGCTTAGTTTCGAGACGAATCATAAAAATATTTGCTCTGCAAGATTAAGAAAGAAGGGGGCTTGCATAATAAGTAAAGCAATACGCTAAAGACATAACTCGTTTCGTATCTTCTTTTAGGCCAATGAATAATATCAATGAAACGAGTTTATATAAGCCTCACTGTATAGCATAGCATGGGAAACCGCCTTCTGATATGAGTTTCTCAAGACTTAGTCTTATACCACAAATTATTTGAAAACGTTTTCAAAAAACATTAAATAGTCAGTAGAATTAAAGAATTGCCTGCCAGAAGGAAAACATTGAAGGATAGAAAAATAAAAACGAGTAATGGTGTTCTAGAGTAAATAAATTCCGATTAAGATAAGATCGAGATACTTTTCAATACGACTTCATGAAAGCACCGATGTGATTTTACCAGCAAATTTACTTTTTCGTTCGATTTGTTTGCATAAATGTAATAAGACAGAAATTAGTTGCATTGCTGAGTTTGCCTGCCGGACCATAGGTAAACATACTATAACGAATGAAATAAAACAAGAACTTGAGCTAAAAATGGAGTTTGACTTAAGGAAAACTGTATCTGTAACAATTGATGGTGCCTCCAATACGGTAGTAATACATAAAGGGTTTGTAAAATTTCGGGCTGAAGAAGTTCAACACTCCATTGTGCAAACTCCTTGCATTTTGCATTAAGAAGCATTATGTGCGAAAGCTAGTATAAAGTCATTTCAAAATGATGTGTCTGTAATAACTAAGATTTGAACTTCATATCTGCAAGTACTCTAAATAATCGCTAGTTCTGGAAGTTGTTACAGAAAGTTTAAATCTCAATATAGCCTCCATATTGATTATGATTTTCATATGTACACTTAAGTGGCCAAAATCTTTGGCCTACATAAGCTTAATGAAATCGGCCACCTAAATGCGTTACATGAATGATTCATGAGCTGAAATATATGAATTAGGATTTAAGGTCGAAAACAAGTAGACCAAAATCTCATATTAAAAAAAAAAAAAAAAAAACAGCCATCAGAGAAATAGCAGTGAGAAAGGTCACATCATCCAGGAAATGATTAATACAATCAATACAGAGTTCATCAAATCGAATCCTAATTCCGGGCCCCAATGTGCCCGTGAAGCTAATTTTGTTCGCCCGCGACTGTCCGCTTCCGTGGCCAATCCGCTGCCCCAAAATCGCATTAAATGCAACTATTTTGAATTTTTTGCTGCCTTTTAAATGTAGGGTATTGTTTATGATGCTTATGATTGCAATAAAATAAAGAAATATTAATAATCGTTATACTTTTTTTTTATTGTGCCCGCCAGATGCCCCCTGTTTGTAAATGTGCCCAGACGGGGAAAAAGGTTAAGAACCCCTGCTGTATGAAATGCAAGTATTAGAGACTGCAACGTTGTTTACCGTTTTAATAATTGGTAGAATTCACGCAATCAAGTATAATTTGGTATACGTTTTTCAGGTTGATTATCGATCTCAATTTGAACGAGGCAGTAGCATTTTACCAAGCGCGTTGCTTCCATTGAATTTATAGCTTTGTCTCATTCTACAAAAGTCTTTAAAATATATTAATAATGTAATTGATAATACAGTAATTTTATAGAGAAAGAATCTGAAAAATTTTCTTTGAAGTAATTTTACCAAAAAAGTTTCGAAAAAATTTTTCGAAAATTTCAGTGTAACTCTGAGATTTTGCGAATATAATTTTTCAAATTCAAATATGTGATGATACTTTAATTATTTATATGACTGGCATTACAATTTTGTTAATATTTTTACTACAAGCGTGTGAAGTGATTTAGGTTGAGGAATTCTTTAAAAAGTGTGCACTCGTTTCAATACTTGTTTAATCCTTTCGTGGGCCGTGGGAAGATTACTTCCCACCTACATGATCCTGGGAAATACACCTGTGGGAAGCGCAAAACCCACTATAATATATTGGCTTTGGTATTATAACGTTGGGAACTCTAATTCCCACTTCAGTATTGTGCTGCCATCTGTGTTCAATCGATTGAAAACAGAATTACCACATTTGTTTTGAAAGTTCGAACGCGTTGTGTGAGATCTGTTCCACTGAGACACCTGTTTTGATTTGACATTTGCATTGCTATACGATTCTGCTACAAATGTAAGTAAAACACTGTTTTTATTATAATAACGTTCTCTTATTTTGTATATTTCTGCAAGAACTATCTAATATTGAATAATAAATAATGGGTGAAAAGTGAAAATGCTATTGCATTGTGTATAAAAGCCACGTGCAATAGTATGCGTGTATAAAGGGCTAGCCTAAAATGCGTGGAATAAGGGAAACTGGCTCGTATGTACACATGGGGAAAACCACGAAAACGCCCATGCAAGCCCGTTGATTCGAACCTGGAAAAATTAGAACCGCTTTGAGAAATTTTTGAAAATACATTTGAAAATATCATTCAATTCTACTGAGAAAGAAAAGGATTATTTTGGCATGATTTTTTTTACCGAGGAAATTTTACAGAATATTGTTGACGAAACTCATATGCAAAGCAGCCTAAGAAAAGGAAGAGATTGGGTCATACCACAAAAGACATTATCCTGAACTGGAAAGAAATCACATCAGAAAAATTGAAAGCATGGGTAGGTATGCATATACTCATGGGTATACATCAATTGCCTGAACTGAAAAACTACTGGAGCACAGACCCTATTCTCAATGTTCAATCAGTAGCAAGAATAATAATCGCAAAGAGGTTCAAAAAAGTAACTGAGATTTTACATGTAAACGATAACAGCACAAATCCATGTGGGCTACTTGGACATGATACGTAAATGAAACTGGTAGTCGACGAATCCCGCACATGGGTGTTTCGTGGTTTTCCCCAACGTGTATCCGAGCCATAGAAAGTCCACGGGCACTTTAGGCAGATAAGGCTTTGATCACACTGGACATGATAAACTCGATAAAGTCAGACCAATCCTCTCACAGCTCAATGATTCCATACCTAAAGTCTACGAACCTTCGTCAACATTATGAATAGATGAATGTATGATAGCTTTCAAAGGGAGAACTTCATTGAAGCAGTATATGCCAATGAAGCCTATAAAAAGAGGTTACAAGGTGTGGTGTTTAGCAGACTCTAAGACTGGATATATTCAAAAATTTGAAATTTATTGTGGAAAAGAAACTTCTGATAATAAGGGTAAAATATTGAGCTTAGGGGAAACAAACTAAACTAACGGAAGATGTGAAACAGACAGGTCATCTTATAGCCTATGATAACTATTTGACATCTTTTAGGCTTGCAAAAAGTCTACTTATAAGTGGTCTGTTTTCTGTGGGGACTGTGAGGCCGCAAAGGAAGGATCTTCCACCAATGCTGAAGGCTAATAACAAACTACAAAGAGGGGAATCAATGTTCCTAACTAAGGAAGGTGTTGCTGCAATAAAGTGGATGGACAAAAAGGCTGTTACATTGTTGACTACTGCACACAATTCAGCGATTATTACATCTGTAAATCGTACACAAAAGGATGGTACTAAAACAGAAGTACCTTGCCCTAAAGCTGTTGCAGCTAACGATATCATGGGAGGGGTTCATTGCTTCGATCAAAGAAAAGAAAGATACCAAATAGGAAGAAGATCTGTAGAATGGTGGCATCGTATTTTTGATTATTTTCTTATTGATCTTGGCATCGTAAATATTTTTATACTGTGGCAAGTAAACAAGAGAAACAGAAGTTTAGACCAGCTAACATTCCGTATAGCATTAGCTCGTCAACTAATAGACGGATATTCCTCGAAAAAGGAAAGGCCGTCCTGCTAGCTTCCAAGCAAAAAGGTGTGCAGTTCCGGATGATATACGCTTAGCCAATGTGGGAAATCATATGCCAAAGATGGTTTCCAACTATAGACGATGTAAGAAATGTAGCACAAAGGCCCAAGAAAAGAGGACCCGCTATATGTGTGCAGTATGTGATGTACCCTTGTGCATTGCAACATGTTTCTCATCTTTTCACGGCAAATAATCGCCTTTAAATTGAATTTTCTCTATGACCATAAAAGGTCCCGTGGGAAGTATACTTCCCACCCCTAAAATTTAAATGTAAATTTTGGAAAAATAAAAAAAATTGGCAAAATAAAATATATTAATTCCTTAAATGCTATTGTTTAGTTGCTAATAAAACATAAAAAAACGGGAGAAATTGAAAAGAGAAATAAATGGCCCACAAAAGGGTTAAACAAAAAAAAAAAAAAAAAAGAAAAAGAAAAAGGAAGGTTAAAAAGAAAACCATAAAACAGAATGCAGATGAAATTTTTTAAAAGTCTGTATCAAGTTTCCGTACCTTGTTAAAGAAACTCTAAGGTACATATAAATTATGTCAGTCTTGTTGAGATTAACATAAAAGTCATAAAAGTTAGACTTGTTTATGCAGTAAATCTCGAAAATACTTCTTTACTATTTCTAAACAAATGCATGATATTATTGTTCATTGCTATCCATTCATCCATGTATTGCCGGGAAATCGTTGTAATCTCCCTATGTATCTGGCTCAATGAAACATTTGCCTCAAGGATACATAACATAATAATGTCCAGACCAGTGGAAAACGGTATCTAAAATAGAGAGAAAACGAATAACTATGCGTCAAGCACCCATCTGTATTTATCATTCTTAACTGTAAGAGTAAACCTCTCATAACAGTTTAATAACTTTTAAGCAAATGTATGCAGCTTGTAGCGATTGTACTGTCAAATACATCACAAATTTAGACATACAAATTTTAAAAAAGTTCAAACTTCTATATGAAATGAACTTGTCACGGAAACAGTTTTCGATTCGATGACGCTATGTATTTTCAAAATATGTATGTTTACTATTTAAGATTCTACTTGCGATAAAAAAAACTGTAATTTCTTACACACTAGTTTTTTCGTATACTCCTGCGCTATATGTAGTTTAAAAAAAATCACATAAAGATGTGTTACCCAACAAATTGTTTTTCCACTTTTTTTAAGGCCCACCAGCGGCCGAGCGGTAAAGACGCTGAACACTGGTAGTTCGGTCTGAGGTTCGAATCCCGCGAACGGGCTGGCTGCATGGGCGTTTTCGTGGTTTTCCCCATGTGTAACGTGTATACGAGCCAGTTTCCCTTAGAAAGTCCTCCACGAAAGGCACCCCTCCCCTTAGGCAGATAGCCCTCGTGTGCTTTGCCATAACTGAATAATCCATCCAATCCACTTTTTTAAGAGAAACTGCTTTGCTTATAGGCAGAGCAGTGGATATGTGGTAAATAGTTATTTCGTCTCATTGCTGTGATGTGGAGGTGATTGGTGATAGTTTAAGCGAATATATTTAGGTCGTACAGAAGTGAATGACACAAATGCTGCCGCGTAGCGGAATACAATTTATTAACAAAAAACTGATAGTACATCAGCTAGGAATATGGATTATTCCCAACTGATGTACTATCAGTTTGGTAGCTCAGGTCAATACACTTCTGCCATCTGGCAAGGGAGTCCCGAAGGTGCTTTGGTAAACCAATCTGTTAGGTGTTAGCGCACCACAAATTGCGTGCAATGCGGCAGAAGATTAAACATGTTGGCCATTGACTGCGTCCTTCATTTTGTCAAACAAGGCGTAATCCGATGTCCACCCAGTTCGCACGCACATTTGTCATCCCCAAATCACTCTGTACGATTTCCTGGAATGTTCCTTACGCAAGTCCTGACTCTTCTTGCATATTGTTGAACGTTTTGCCATGATTAAATAGGACACAGCTGCCACATATGCTGCTGTATGCGATGTTGCTGGTCGTCCCGCGCTGACACCTTTGCTTGACGTCTCCACTCCACTGCTGAACGTCGGCGAGCAACGGGATACGGTATGCCTTAAGGGAACTTTGTTCCCGCACACCGACACCATGCGACAAAGGATCTCACTAGCCTATATCCCTTTCTTCCATAGGGACCAGGCTGTCCAAAGCTGACCGTGATAATCATCTTCCATCATTGTTGCCCAAGCTCTCAATGACGACGGTGAAAGGTACGGGAGCGGACTTATACCGCTCGCCAGCTCCATCTATGCATTCTGAGTAGCTCAACCCTCCTTGTGTCTATTTCACTTGTTTTTACTTCGCATAGTATAATGGTTTCGTCGTGAGGGCCGTTGTGTCAATCACTTCTGTACGATAAATGTATAATTCTAGTTAAATATATTTGAAAGGCATTAACTCTTCAATTCATAAATCGACATCAAAAGACGAGTTCCGCAATCAAAAATGCCTTTGCTTTAAATTTGCACAAACCGATCGGTAACATTCACGAGCGGAGACTACTTCAGCATTGCACTACATACCTCATTACACCCATTTGCTTTCTAGCTGCTTGCCATGTGCAACGCTTTTCCACCACCTCAGCACTTCAGTTACAATTCATAGACTGCTTCAAGAACCATATTGCTATCTGCAAGCTCCTAGGCGGAGGCGACTCAGATAGAGTTCGGATGATGTCGCTTATGTTATTCCACTGACTTAAATGCTATCTGCATTGTGCATTGTTAGTATAGAAATGCGACTTCACTACTGCTTATCATACGAACTCTCTTCAAAATACTATGAACTTCCACCCCTCTACTTATTCATTCTTTTCATATCATCATCTGATCGAAAATCGTAAAACTAACTGTATTAGAATAGGTCTACTGCGCCGGTACCCGCAACTCAACACATATCTAGTCAAAAAATATCTTGCTGAATACCAAATTCTGTTACTGAATATTAAATCAACGCATTTCAGAATTAAAGAACAGTTAGCTATAGGTAAATTGATATGCAGTTAAAGTAAAAGAGGACGGAATATTATTATATAAAACAATATAGCCATTTTTAAATAGTAGAATTATGCTGAGGCTTTAACTATGTTTATTTTTAAGTGTACATTAATTGCTTGCCTTTGAGCTTTTGGGGTTTTGCTTTACCTGCATGTTAAATCATATCATTCTCAATTGTATAATCAGTATATATATATACTGCACCTGTATTTCTTACTATGATAAACTAGTGTTAGTACGCAGCTTCTTCTGAATAATGCAATGGGAGAATACAGTGCGTTCTAAGCAAATTATCGCTATATTTAGATAAAGAGAGAGAAACGTAAGACGAATATAAAAGCCCCGTCTTATTAAGAACTCAATATATTTAGACAAGAATCACTTCTTCTGTTTAAAAAACTATGGCGTAACACAAAATGAAGAAATTTCAAACTAAAACTAACTAAACTTGTAAATTAAAACTAACTAAAGTTATTCTGAAGGCTACATAGCAATGATTAGCGTGCAAGTCGGTTGAAGCCTATATGTGCACGACAAGCATTAATGACAAGAATACGGCAACTCTGAAGATGACAGATAATGTATACTTTAATTGCTGAACCACACAAAAAATACCCTCTAGGAATATTTATGTTAACTAGTTCCTCGATTTCAGAATACCATGTCAAGAGCTTCCTTCTTAGCTCATCAGGTACCTCGGAATTCAAATCACAACCAGATTCCCACAATTCTCGAATCATTAACTTAGCTCTAATAACATATGCAGCAATTAGTCTAATTGGATTATAAATTTTGGCTACGGTTTGAAAAATGAATCTTTTAGTTACTGTTTGTTCATCAAGCGATTTCCTGAATTGCGCTACATCTAAACTTAAACTGTCTTGATGTGTATCTCACTTCAAACCTAGAACTTTTGGCGAGTTTTTATTTAAATTATTTTCCTCAATATCTTCCGTTTTTAATCCACAGTTCTCTTAAAACTCCGGAATTGCTTTTCATTTTACGAAGATGCATGTTTTCATCTTTCAGAATATTCACCGCAGTAGTTGACCGATAAAATGCTATATCATCATTTTCGGCCCCATGCAAAAGGTCTTCTACATACAAGAATTTATCTAACATTTTATACAGCATCGCTATGTTCCTCTATATATTTCTTTATATGATATTTAATAGTTGCCGCAAGCGTGAAAGGTGATTGACAAGTACCAAAAGGCAATCTTGACATTTTGTATATTTGAAATGGCGAAATTCCATCTTTACCGAACCAAATAAATTTTAAATAATTTTTCGAATTTTCGTCAAGAAAAATAGAATGAAAAGCGTTTTTTATATCTGTCCCAAAGGCTATCTTGTGTAATCTGAATTTTAAAATGATATCTAATAAATTGCTATACAAGTTGGGTCCTTCGACACTCGTTCAGAGATTTTGCACCTTTATCTTTAGACGAACAGTCATAGACAATACACGCAGTAGTAGTTGTCTTATCAGGTTGAATAACAGATCTATGAGGTGCAAAATAGTTATCCCTTTCAAGTTCGCAATTAACAGCATTAGAAAATTTTTCAATTATTCCTGTATTTAGTTGTTCAATAATAAATTTCTTATATTCACTAAATAACTACTCATTATGTTACAATTTGTTTTCTAGCTTCAGAAACCTCTGTTTAGCAATTAGGAAATTATTTTTAAGTTCTGATTTCCCTTCGTTAAATAATAACGGTGTATTTTTCATTTTCGCAATGTTAATTCTTATTAAGCAGATCAAAAACCTCGAAATCTTCACCTCGATAATGAGTCGCTGTCTCTCATAAAGAATTCCTCTAGAC